ACAACTCTTCAACCAAACAAGGTTATTAACATATCTCAGTTATAAACCAAACATAAAAATCTAACATTATCAGTAATCTAACATTCTCAACAATCTAACATTTTTAAAGTAATCTAACATTCCGTGAACCAAGGTGAAACTATGATGATGATGATGATGATGGTGATGATGATGATGGTGATGATGATGATGGTGATGATGATGATGATGATGATGATGATGATGATGATGATGTTTGCGGTGAAAATTGCGGATAAAGGAGAAGAAAAAAATGTTTTAATTGGGAAGGGTAAATTATGTAATTTTTTTAAAATAATAAGGATAAAGATGAAAAAAAAAAATAGGAAGCTAGGAGCTTATTTTGGGAACATTACCAAACAGTGCTTATAGCTTATTAGTAGCTTAAAATAAACTATAAGCTCCCAAATAAGCTCTGCCAAACAGAGCCTAACACTCTTTATGCTTTACTAATTAACAATAGTTGCACTTGTGTAATTGAATTTGTGTGATTACGGAGACATGTGTGTGTTTAATAGAGGGTCCACCACCTTGAGGTAGCGAGGTTGTTCTAATCTATTCAATAATCTTACAACAAGAATCTCAGGCCAGAGTATAATGAAGTTGAACTTCAGATTATGATTATTGAATACACATTTTAAATTAGGTTTATGAGTTTGACCATGACCTTTACTTGGTTCAAAACAAGCATTGTGTGGAAGGATATTATTTCATGATATTTGTAACGAAAAAGTTCATTATAATTACTTTCATTCTCAACTATGTAGTCATAACATATTATTAAGTGTCATTCATGACTCACATATTATTTAATAATAAGTTATTAAATATTGCTTGTTGTTGGTTTGACTCTAGACCTAGAAAGTTAAACCTTTTTGGTACATGGTAATTTAGAGAGTTTTAAAATAAATTGATAATGAATTAATTCTTAAATAGATGATTATTTGGGGGCAAATTATGCCCTGGAAACGTGTTCACCGAGAATGGTGAACACAAGGCCAAACGACATCACTTTTAGGTAAAAAAAAAAAAAAATTTCGCGGATGTGGAGTTAACGGCGCGCGTTGATCAAATTATGAATTTTCTTTTATAAGATTATAAATTTTCATAAAATTCATAATCTCATAACAGAAAATTCATAATCGCATAACAGAAAATTTATAATCTCGTAACAAAAAATTCATAATCTCATAACTGAAAATTCATAATCTTATAACATAAAATTCATAATCTCATGGTTCCAAAGTGAATGTGTAGGCATGGTTCCAAAGTGAATGTGCAGGCATGGATTTTCATAATTTATGAATGTCCGTGATTTCGGACGGGAATGTGTAGGCATGGTTCCAAAGTGAATGTGCAGGCATGAATTCATAATTTATGAATGTCCGAAATCATTGTTCACCTCAAATTAAAGTGAAACCGCAAAAAATTCATAATCGCATAACAAAAAATTCATAATCGCATAACAGAAAATTCATAATCGCATAACAGAAAATTCATAATCTCATAACAGAAAATTCATAATCTCATAACTGAAAATTCATAATCTTATAACAGAAAATTCATAATCTTATAACAGAAAATTCATAATCTCATGATTCCAAAGTGAATGTGTAGGCATGGTTCCAAAGTCAATGTGCAGGCATGGATTCATAATTTATGAATGTCCGTGATTTCGGACAGGAATGTGTAGGCATGGTTCCAAAGTGAATGTGCAGGCATGAATTCATAATTTATGAATGTCCGAAATCATTGTTCACCTCAAATTAAAGTGAAACCGCAAAATGTGAAAATGAAGACGAAAAGTCACGCAATTAATTAAGAAAAAAAAAAAAGATAACGGTGTACTAACACCGTTGGAATCGTGTTCACCATGAATGGTGAACACGGTTCCATGGCATAACGCTCCTTATTTGGGTAGTTTTAGACTTTTTAAAAGGCTAGCACATGTTGAGCCCAAACCAAGGCAAATTATACCGTGCACCAGGCGCACAATGTATTGTGTGCCCTGCCCCAAAACGACGTCGTCTTGTATATTTTTGTGTGTCTGCTGTTAACTCCTTAAAAAAAAATCATGTTTCGAATGTACAGAATTGTATAATAGAATATACAGAATTTTATACCTGAAAACACATAGGGGTCGTTTACTTCGTTCCTCTGTTTTTCCATTTCCAGTTTTCCATTTCTCCATTTCTCCAGTTTTCTTTCTCCATTCTTCCAGTTTTCCATTTTTCCAATTTTTCAATTTTCATTCCTCATTCCTCTAATTCTTCATTTCTCTAATTTTCTGATTTTATTAAATACAATCATTCCATATAACATTTTTACATTTCTATAACAAAGATAATAACAATAACAACAACAACAACAATAATAATAATAATAATAATAATAATAATAATAATAATAATAATAATAATTATTATTATTATTAATTATTATTATTATTATTATTATTATTATTATTATAAATATGTGTGCATAAGGATGAAGTAAAGGGAAAATTAAAAAAAGAAGATAATAATAATAATAATAATAATATGTGTGCATAAGGATGAAGAAAGGGGAAAATTAAAAAAAAAAAAGAAGATAATAATAATAATAATAATAATAATAATAATAATAATAATAATAATAATAATAATAATAAAAAATATGTGTGCATAAGGATGAAGTAAAGGGAAAATTAAAAAAAGAAGATAATAATAATAATAATAATAATATGTGTGCATAAGGATGAAGAAAGGGGAAAATTAAAAAAAAAGATAATAATAATAATAATAATAATAATAATAATAATAATATGTGTGCATAAGGATGAAGTAAAGGGAAAATTAAAAAAAGAAGATAATAATAATAATAATATGTGTGCATAATGATGAAGAAAGGGGAAATTAAAAAAAAAAGATAATAATAATAATAATAAAAAGAAGCAAAGGCGCAGAGCAAAAACAGACGTGCAAAGCAAAGGCGCAGTACAGGTTTCGAACCCGCGACCTGTTGGATAGGTTACTGTTCACGCGCGTTTTTTCCATCTTTCCATTTGGAGAAGTCCAAATCTTCTTTCTCCAAAATTGTACATGAAGTTGGAAAATGGAGAAGGAGTAGGCATTTGGAAGAAGGAATTTAGTAAACAACTTCTCCAATTTTCCTTTTTCTACTTCTCAATTTCTCTATTTTTCTGGAAAATCCTCCATTTTTCCAAGTTGGTAAACGACCCCATAATTTTTTAACTGAATACATATAATCTTTTTTGAAAGGATAATACACATAATCTAACATAATACATAATATAAATAAACTCTTAACATAATACACATAAACTCTTAACTCTTAAAAAAAAATCGATGTTTCGAATGTACAGAATTATATAATAAAATGCTCAGAATTTTATATCTGAAAACACAGAATTTTATGCTTGGAAACACATAATTTTATAACTGAAAATCTCCATGTTTCGAATGTACAGAATTATATATTAAAATGCACAGAATTTTATACCCGAAATTAACAAAATGACGTCGTTTTGAGAGGCGCGGGACGCACATTGCTATGTGCGCCTCGGTGCACGGTATAACGATTGCAAACCAAGCTATATAAATATCATTGCCTTATTCTTGAACACAATGAGATTTTTCTATCAAAAAGACAAAAAAATACTTTCACATAAAATCTTTGGATTCCTGTCCTCTTGCGTGCCTAACCGGTGGTAGACTATAGACCGGACGTTTGGACGGTTCAAAGATTCGACTATTCGTCAAAGCACGCTTCAAGGGTAATGATGTTCAACTCTCTAGCTATATATTAACGTAAGAATCATTGAAAATGTTTATTTATGCTTCCGCAACATTTATGTATTTTATCTAACATATGATACCTTTTTGGCCCTATTAGGCAACAACATGTTTTTTGTTTTATGTTTTCCAATTCTCTAGCTAGTTTTTCAGAAAACTTTGAGAAATTTTCTAGTTAGTAAATGAGCCCCAAGTATTTGCTTTGTTTTGTTTGTTTGTTTTTGTTCATTCCTGTAATCCACTGACCAATTTTCTACAAGAAAGCTAGCTTGTCTTAATTTCTGGAGAAAAATTTCGTGGTTTATGCAAACAAGATCCAAGAGAGATCAAGGATGGTATCCTCTCAACCTTAGCTTGACTTGTCAAGAGACCTAAGAAGGAGAAAACAAGCCTTAAGGAAGAATTTGCAAGAAGTGGAAGAAGGAGCTGTTACAATGGAACCTAAAGATTGTAGTCGTCCTACCCACGAGTCCACAGGAGGGAGGAGCAGTCAAGTATCACCGAAAGTAGATTCATAATTTCCAGTAATTTGGAAATGAAAATTTGTACGAGGCCTGGAAGAGATTCAAAGAATTGAGAAGACAATGTCCTAGAAATTCGTTAACCTCTGGAGACTTATCACGTCATTTTATGAAGGTTGTTAGATCAATCAAAAACAATTGTGCATACGTCCTCGATTGGAGGAGTTTTTCTAGACATGACATCCAAACAAGACACACAACTTATCAAGAGGATAACGTAACTGCCAACACAACTTATTGAGTGATCACCTTTTTCGTCATGCCCCATGGGGCTATCATTATTTTATATGATTTAGTTGTACGATTAAGAAAATTCAGTTAAAATTGTCATCATTCCAATTATTAATTGAAAATTGATCAATGGTTAGCTATAATTAGTGAAAACTTAAAAATAGGATTTGTCGTTTTATAATATGAATTCAACTCGCAAAGTCATAGTAAGATTCTCGTGAGCGAAGTGACAGGACAAGACCTACGTCGAAAGTAGCCAAAATGTTTCAAATTTAGAAAAAAATTTAAAAACTAAATTACTTACATTATTACATTAATCTACATTTTTGATTAACAACCAAACAAACTAAATTCTGAAAGGGAGTGAGTGTTTAGGTCCAACGTGGGCCCCGCTTTGAAATCTGCTATAGAGATGGCAGTTTCTCTGCGCTTCCCTTTGTTATTATTCTCTTTATCCCCCTGCGAATCCTGGGACTGGGAATCCGAATAATTTTCACTTTTGGGCTCTGCTTCTTATCTAAAGTTAGAAAATGGAGTAAAAAAGCTTGCATCTTTGTAATCTTTGTAATCTTTCCGCCCTGTTAATGCTAGCTTCAGTGAATGGGTGAAGCAAAATCTTCTCTTGGGCACCTGTTTTTGTTTTTCTCTCTCTAGCACACACTGCCTATGGATATTGAATAATCTAGGGTTTGCAGCATATCGAAAGTCCAACCAAAGGTCTGTTCTGTTTTGTTTTATTCCTCTCCAGTTTCTCCATTGATTTTCTCTCTGCGTTTTTCAGTTTTTGGTTTAGTTTCTTCTGAAATCTGGATACACACTTGATACTGGTGCTGTTGTGTTTGATAAAATGCTTCCTTTCTTGAATTCAATTTCTTGAATTTGGATAAAGGTAGTAGAAAAAAGAAAAACTCTGTTGTTGAAAAGATGAGATTTTAGTTACTTGTGTATGTTTGAAGGAGTTATGGAAGGAATATTAGTGGTTGCAGAGTTTCTTTAGTTTTATGTCTTAGGTTTTAGGAATTGGAGTTGTTATTTCATAGAAAAAAGAAAAATTTGGGGCTGAAGTTAAGATGGAGGAGATTGAGGAAGCTAACAAGGCAGCTGTACATAGTTGCCATAGGATTATTAGTCTGTTGTCTCAACCTCATGATGAGAGCCATTATGGAAAGTTATTGATTGAATCTGGGGATGCTGTCCATAAGTTCAAGAGGGTTGTTTCTCTGCTGAATTCTAAGTTGGGTCATGCAAGGGTGAGAAAGGGCAACAAGACTCATCAGACCCCTCTCTCCCCGAAATTTCTATTGGAAAACCCCGTCACTGGAAATGATGATCGCCCCAAAGCCCTTCACCTTCTCCCGATCAATTCACTTGAAATCCTAAATCAAGAAAGGAGTTGTACTGTGAATAGTGCTCTCACATTGGGGAACCCCCTTTCGCATGACTTAAAGTTACATGGTAAAAGCCCTATTCAATTACCCCATTATACTTCAATGACAAACTATCAGTTCCCTAAACAACAACAAAGGCATGGAGAAATGATTTGTCAGTCCAGCAATAGTGGCATTAGTCTAAATTTCGATAGCACTACTTGCACGCCTACCTTGTCCTCTACACGCTCTTTTATATCCTCGCTGAGTGTTGACGGGAGTGTTGCAAATATGGATGGAAGTGCTTTTCGTTTAATCGGGGCCTCTTGCTCTGGGGATCAGAGTACATTTCAACGCAAGAAAAGGTGTTCTGGTAAAGGAGAGGATGGGAGCGTGAAATGTGGAAGCAGTGGCAGGTGCCACTGTTCGAAGAAAAGGTATGCTCATTTAAGCTGCATTTACTTCCCTTGCCTTGTTCTGCTCTTCATTTCTCTCTTTCCGATATGAACAATTCAGAATTACCTTTGGACAGGAAACAAAGGGTAAAAAGAACAATAAAAGTTCCTGCTATCAGTAACAAGCTTGCTGATATTCCCCAAGATGAGTACTGTTGGAGGAAGTACGGCCAGAAGCCAATCAAAGGTTCTCCTCACCCAAGGTATCTTTCTAATAAACTTTCTTAGTGCATTTCAATTGTGATATATGTTGGAAAAATAGGATGTAAGTTCATTTCATTCTACTTGCATTATGCTGCTTGATTGCATAGTTGCCTTTTAAGTTGAAGAATAAACAGCTCTGTTATAGCGCCATGCCTTTTCTCGATGGAAATCGTTTTCATTAATTCCGTTCTTGCCTCGTTGGACACACAAGAGTGTAAGAGGTGAAAGTTTGGTTTCATTCAGTATAAAATGATTCCAGCCCAAGTAACGACTGAGCTTATTTTCTGTCGAGTCTCAACTTTTTCCATTTTGTTAGTTGATGATGAGAACCTTGAATCCATGATGCCTTTAGCCACTACCCGAGGATGTGCCCTGGGTAAACCCCTTCTTGTGACCCTAGCCAGCAAAGGATCACAAGAAGGTAAACCATCCTACGTTTCCCTCGTTGGATTAGTTTTAGCCTCGTTGGATAAGTGGCTTACTGTAAACATGTACAATATCATATGATAAATATATCAATCTAACATCCGAGCTTCTGTTGCTTTTACGTAAAACCCATGTTCTGCCAACTACCATGTAGTGTGATGGCACCTCAGTTACCATTCCAAATGGGTGGTCACATGATCAAATCCTGGTGGTGGGGACATTGATTCTTTGGGCCAACAAAGACCGAAAAAGTATAGAACGAACAAATACTACCTTGTAAAGAATCATGAGTGTTTCAGAAATATGTAAAACCCATGTTTTCAGTAGCTAAACTTTGGTTGTGCTTGTGCAGAGGATACTACAAATGTAGTAGCATGAGAGGCTGCCCTGCAAGGAAGCATGTGGAAAGATGTTTGGAAGACCCTTCGATGTTGATTGTTACTTATGAAGGAGAGCATAACCATCCCAGGTTGGCGTCACAATCAACAAACACATGAAACTCGAATAACTGGTGGCGAGTTTCATAAGGATATGACAAACCCTTTAAACTTTGTGGTCGGTTTAGGCTATTGCATATCAGTGTACAGATTTTGCTTGTTTAGAGTTGGGGAGTTATGGTTCAAAGGTATAGGCTTTTCCTTCATGGTATTAGAAAGGTAAAATCTCATGGCAAAAATTTTCTAATGGAAAGCTCAAAGCTGTTTTGTTGGTAGTGCAATTGAATTATTTCTGTTTTTACTTTGTGTAGAGTAAGTATGCCAAATGCCTATTTATTTATTGTTGGGAAAAGTGTCAAATAAACTCTTGACCTTTAGGCAAAAGTACAATTAGGCCCTTCAACTTTAAAAAAGTGTAATTAAACACTTGAACTTGTTATTTTGGTGTGTCTAAACCCAATAGTCGGTCATTCACTCGGAATAACCGGTCAAAAAGATTCCGGCAACATTTTCGGTAATAATTTCGACGAACAAGATCCGGCGAGAACAAAAATTTTTTAAAAAAAGGAAAAAAAAATGACCTAACCGGAGAAGACCCGGTGAAAAAGGTCACCGGAAGTTGTTTTTTAAGGTTTTAATGATGGTTTCGGCGGTCAACAATGATCAACGTCGATAATATTACCGGTAACTTGTTAGTTATCGGTAAATCAGACTTATTTGACCCATTTTAACAAGTTCAAGTGTTTAATTGCACTTTTTTAAAGTTGAAGAACTTAATTACACTTTTCTATTAAATTTGTTTTTTCTTCAAATTTGAAGAATTTTTTTTTTCTATAAAATATTTTCATGTAAACTAAACAGACGGTCATTGACGAAATTCATGGTTGAAGTGAAGATGATAAAAATTAAATTATTTTGTTTATATAATTGGATTTGAAAGTAATCATGTTTGAGAAAAAAGAAAAGAAAAGAAAAGAAAACCTTTGGTTTAGATCACCGTATTAAGAGCAACCACACGGTCCACACCAATGAATTTTGGTGGATTATATTTTTGGAATAATACAAAAAAAGGTATGGTTTTCTTCTCCCAAAAGGTTGAATCCCCAACCTTAAGGGCCCCCCATACTTCGGCCCGACAGAACATTTGTGAGGATGTAAATCACGGTGACACAATGGTTCAACAGATATGGCCAAATGCCGGTGCGCACAAGGAATCTGCCCACTTTAGACATGATTCCCACACTGCCGCTGTCGAGGTTCGAATCTTGAAAAAAAAAAAGGTATAGTTTTCTGTCGATGTGAGATGGGGTTTTTGGAGAAATTTTACTCCGGCAAAAGATACTTTTTTGTGGGGTCCACAATTTTGTGGGTGCAGTAACCTTAAAACATGAAAAGGTTACTATTTATCAGAACACGAGTCAATTTGTCCCCCAAAATACATGAAAATGTTAGTATTTTTCAGATTATAGAGGTAATGCAACAAATTTATGTGAGTCTAAAAAGGGTGCGGTTTTTGTTTTCAATTTAGTCCACTTATTCCGACTGTTTGGTGTTAAATAGAGAAACAATTCAGTAATTTCAATATTTACATCTTTTTACATCTAAACTTGTGAAGGTTGTTGTGGTGTAGTGGTTATCACGTCAGTCTTACACAGTAAAGGTCCCCAGTTCGATCCTGGGCAACAACATTGCTCTCTTAACTAATTATTAATATTAATTAGTTTCTCAAAAATAAGAAAACATGAAAAGTTTGCTATTTATCAGAACACGAATCAATTTGTCTCCCAAAAACATGAAAACGCTATTATTTTTCAAATTCTAGAGGTGAGGTAATGCAACAAGTTTATGTGAGTCTAAAAAATTTAAGGGTGCGATTTTTGTTTTCAATTTAGTCTGCTCGTTTAGTGTTAAATAAAGGAACAATTCAGTAATTTTAATATTTACATCTTTTTATATCTAAACTTGTGAAGGTTGTTGTGGTGTAGTGGTTATCACGCCAGTCTTACACACTAAAGGTCCCCAGTTTGATCCTAGGCAGCAACATCGCTAATTTAAGGGTGCGGTTTTTGTTTTCAATTTAGTCTGCCTTATTCCGTTCGTTTGGTGTTAAATTGAGGAACAATTCAGTAAATTCAATATTTACATCTTTTTACATCTAATCTTGTGAAGGTTGTTGTGGTTTAGTGGTTATCACATCAGTCTTCACACTGACGGTTCCCAGTTCGATCCTGGGCAGCAATATCTCTCTCATAACTAGTTAATTAGACTTTGAAAAACATGAACCGTTTACAATTCTAGAGGTAATGCAACAAATTTAAGTGAGCTTTCGTCTGCTCGGTGTTAAATAGAGGAACAATTCAGTAATTTCAATATTTACATTTTTTTACATCTAAACCTGTGAAGGTTGTTGTGGTGTAGTGGTTATCACGTCAGTCTTACACAGTGAAGGTTTCCAGTTCGATCTTGGGCAGCATTCAAGTTGTAATGTAACAAGTTTGTGTGAGTCTCAAAAATTTAAGGGTGCGGTTTTTGTTTTCAATTTAGTCCGCCTTATTCCGTCCGTCCCTTTGGTGTTATATAGAGGAACAATTAAGTAATTTCAATATTTACATCTTTTTACATCTAAACATGTTAAGGTTGTTGTGGTGTAGTGGTTATCACGTCAGTCTTACACACTGAAGGTCCCTATTTTGATCCTGGGCAACAACATAGCTCTCCTAACTAATTTGTTTATCAAAAATATGAAATATCAGAACACGAGTCAATTTGTCTTCCAAAAACATGAAAATGCTATTATTTTTCAGATTCTAGAGGGAGTCAAATATAAGGCGGTTTTTGTTTTCAATTTAGGGTGTGTTTGGAAACCTGGAAAATGAGTTCTGGAAATCATTTTCCAAGTTTCCATTGTTTGGATGTACCTGGAAAATCAAGTCAACGGAAATCATTTTCCGTTGACTTTGGAAAATAGGCTTGTTTTGGAGGAAAATGACTTCCCCTTTTTTTTGGGTGAAGTCATTTTCCAACCTTTACACCAACATCACACCACCACCAACATCATCAATACCATACCACCACCACCTCACTACCAACATCACCACCACCACTACTGTCGCCGCCACCACCACTATACCACCGCAACCACCGCCACCACACCACCACCACTACCACCACCAACACCATCAACACCATACCACCACCACCACCACCGCTACCACCACCACCACCATACCACCGCCACCATTACACCACCGCAACCGCCGCCACCACCACCACCACCACCACCACCATACCGCCGCAACCACCGTCGCCGCCACCACCACCACCATACCACCGCCGCCGCCATCGCCACCACCACCATACCACCGCAACCACCGCCACCACCATCACACCACCACCATCACACAACCGCCGCCACCACGACGACGACCATACCACCGCAACCACCGCCGCCACCGCAACCACCGTCGCCGTCACCACCACCACCACCATACCACCCCAACCACCACTACTGCCGCCTCCACCACCACCGCAACCACCGTCGCCGCCACCACCGCAACCACCGCCACCACCATCACACAACCGCCGCCACCACCACCACCACCACCATAATCTTTTTGATATATTATTAGTTATTTTTATTATATATAAAATTATTATTATATTATTATATATTATTATACATCTTGTAATATTCTAAATAAAATAATTAAAATTTTTAATTATATAATTCTACTCATTTTCCAGAAAATGAACCAAACACACAAAAACAATTTTCCAGAATGCAACCAAACACCGGAAAGAAAAATGTTTTCCGGAAAATGACTCATTTTCCAGAAAACATTTTCCTGCTTTCCAAACGGACCCTTAGTCCGCCTTATTCCGTTTGTTTGGTGTTAAATAGAGGAACAATTCAGTAATTTCAATATTTACATCTTTTTACATCTAAACTTGTGAAGGTTGTTGTGGTGTAGTGGTTATTGCGTCAGTGACCTTACACACTAAAGGTCCCCAGTTCAATACTTGGCATTATAGAGGTAATGGAACAAGTTTATGTGAGTATAAAAAATTTAAGGGTGCGATTTTTGTTTTGAATTCAGTCTTGCCTTATTCCGTTCTTTAGGTGTTAAATAGAGGAACAATTCAGTAATTTCAATATTTACATCTTTTTACATCTAAACTTGTGAAGGTTGTTGTGGTATAGTGGTTATGACGTTAGTCTTACACATTAAAGGTCTTCAGTTTGATCCTGGGCAGCAACATCGCTCTTCTAACTAATTAATTAGTATCTCAAAAATAAGTTTACTATTTATCAGAATAAGGGTAAATTTAAGGGTGCGATTTTTGTTTTCAATTTAGTCTGCCTTATTCTGTTCGTTTGGTGTTAAATTGAGGAACAATTCAGTAATTTCAATATTTACAAGAACAAGGGTAAATTTAAGGGTGCGGTTTTTGTTTTCAATTTAGTCTGGCTTATTCTGTTCGTTTGGTGTTAAATTGAGGAACAATTCAGTAATTTCAATATTTACATCTTTTTACGTCTAATCTTGTGAAGGTTGTTGTGGTGTAGTGGTTATCACGTCAGTGTTACACACTGAAGGTCCCCAGCTAGATCCTGGGCAACAATATCTCTCTCATAACTAGTTAATTAGTCTATGGAAAACATGAAAAGTTTACAATTCTAGGGTTAATGTAAAAAATTTAAGTGAGTTTTCGTCAGCTTGGTGTTAAATAGAGGAACAATTCAGTAATTTCAATATTTAAATCTTTTTACATCTAAACCTGTGAAGGTTGTTGTGGTGTAGTGGTTATCACGTCAATCTTACACAGTGAAGATTTCCAGTTCGATCTTGGGCAGCATTCAAGTTGTAATGTAACAAGTTTGTGTGAGTCTAAAAAATTTAAGGGTGCGGTTTTTGTTTTCAATTTAGTCCGCCTTATTCCGTCCGCTTGGTGTTATATAGAGGAACAATTAAGTAATTTAAAATATTTACATCTTTTTACATCTAAACATGTGAAGGTTGTTGTGGTATAGTGGTTATCACGTCAGTCTTACACACTGAAGGTCCCTAGTTCAATCCTGGGCAACAATATTGCTCTCTTAACTAATTAGTTTCCCAAAAATAAGAAATATCAGAACACGAGTCAATTTGTCTCCCAAAAACATGAAAATGCTATTATTTTTTTGATTCTAGAGATAATGCAACAAGTTTATGTGAGTCTTAAAAATTTAAGGGTGCGATTTTTGTTTTCAATTTAGTCCGCCTTATTTCGTTTGTTTGGTGTTAAATAAAGGAACAATTCAGTAATTTTAATATTTACATCTTTTTATATTTAAACTTGTGAAGGTTGTTGTGGTGTAGTGATTATCACGTCAATCTTACACACTGAAGGTCCTCAGTTCGATCCTGGGCAGCAATGTCGCTCTCCTAACTAATTAATTAGTATCTCCGGTTTTTGTTTTCAATTTAGTCCGCCTTATTCCGTCCCTTTGGTGTTAAATTGAGGAACAATTCAGTAATTTCAATATTTACAAGAACAAGGGTAAATTTAAGGGTGCGGTTTTTGTTTTCAATTTAGTCTGCCTTATTCTGTTCGTTTGGTGTTAAATTGAGGAACAATTCAGTAATTTCAATATTTACATCTTTTTACGTTTAATCTTGCGAAGGTTTTTGTGGTTTAGTGGTTATCACATTAGTCTTACACACTGACGGTTCCTAGTTCGATATTGGGCAGCAATATCTCTCTCATAACTAGTTAATTAGTCTTTGGAAAACCTGAAAAGTTTACAATTCTTGGGGTAATGTAACAAATTTAAGTGTGTTTTCGTCCGCTCGGTGTTAAATAGAGGAACAATTCAGTAATTTCAATATTTACATCTTTTTACATCTAAACCTGTGAAGGTTGTTGTGGTGTAGTGGTTATCACGTCAGTCTTACACAGTGAAGATTTCCAGTTCGATCCTGGGCAGCATTCAAGTTGTAATGTAACAAGTTTGTGTGAGTCTTAAAAATTTAAGGCTGCGGTTTTTGTTTTCAATTTAGTCCGCCTTATTCCGTCCGTTTGGTGTTATATAGAGGAACAAGTTTGTGTGAGTCTTAAAAATTTAAGGCTGCGGTTTTTGTTTTCAATTTAGTCCGCCTTATTCAAGTAATTTAAAATATTTACATCTTCTTACATCTAAACATGTGAAGGTTGTTGTGGTGTAGTGGTTATCACGTCAGTCTTACACATTGAAGGTCCCCAGTTTGAACTTGGGCAACAACATAGCCCTCCTAACTAATTAGTTTTTCAAAAATAACTATTTATTAGAACACGAGTCAATTTGTCTCCTAAAAACATGAAAATTGTTATAAATATGTATTTAGTGTGGCCATTATTAGTATGTATTTAGTGTGGCCATTATTAGTATTAATTATGTAACGGTTAAGTGATTAATGGCTGCATTATGTCTTCTGTTACATTTCTATATTATATATATAGATGTGTTATGGTTGTATGGAACATACAGAGATATATGAATATGAATATCCTCTTGGGCTTGTCTCTTACTTTCACTTTCTGCAGTTCCTTTGATCAATCATGTTTGAGCTAATAGGTTGCAACAAGTTATCAGCACACTCTAACCAATTGATCAAGCCTCGCTGGCGACGCCTCTCTAGTCTCTTCTTCAATATGTTTCTCCGCCGCAAAGAATTCTGGGTCTAGTCGAACAAATCGTACCGACCTGCTACAGTTGGTTTAGCAAGAGTGATGATGAACTTCGGCTGCTCTAGTCAGTTTGTTGTTCATGGGATGATCTGTGGAATCAGATAAGTTTGTTTCTATTTTTTTTGTGAATTTGTTTCTAAATATCGAAAGGTGGTTGTGAACCTTATTATGCTGCAGAAAATCCATTCGATGTGATTTTGAAGATTAACATGTTAACGATTACCACATGATGAGCACATTTCAAGTATTGCAATTCCAGTAGAAACGAGACATCAAAACTTTGTTTAGCGCCGAATTTTCCAGCAGTGCTCCTCCGGTGATGTTCTTTCCCCATTCGGCGGCTGCTAAAATATGAATGGTGATCGGAGATCTCCGCGAGACGCCGTCGATCTAGACCAGAACAGTTCGGTTGCGTCGCAGCCGGCGATCTACGGTTCGACGATCGGATGTCTGTACGTGCCGACGTGCCGTCGATCTCCTTCAATTCGAAGCCGCCGGGGAGAGGGAGGACAGATCCGCTACGCCACTGCTAAGCATGTATAATACGCAGGCTCCAAACAGAAAGGCATATGCATGAATCTTTCCAGAAATTATTCTATTTTTTTCCGAAATCAATAAACAAAATATACCTTCTGCTTGTTCGCTGGATTCAAACATCCGTTTGTTGTTATACGACGACGCGGCTGCCTTTTGGGGCTCGCTGCTGTTGTTTCTTTCTTCCTGGTTTCGCCGGGTGTGATGGCAGCATCGCTGTTCAATGACGAAGGCTACAATTGGCCGGCTGCCGGCGATCCGTGCGTCGCGATAGGCGATGGCAGCAGTGATGTTTTGCGATGGCGTCCTGAAGGGGAATAGCCGCACAAGCAGATTCTTACAGCTGTCATTTACAGTTTTGAATTAATCAGGTAACTGCATAATATTTTTCAAAGCATGTTATTATTCTTATTTTTGGTAATGTGAGCATCTGTTTTGATAAACTTTCTCATGGTTACCATTTAATCATTTTTATGGCTAGAAATAATTTTACAATTTTGCCATAATTTGATAATGCTAAAATGTGATTTTGTATCATATTTTTGGAAAAGGTTTTTTGTGGCAATTAGATATTGCATTTTTTTTTAGTTTGTCATAATAATCTTGATTATGATATGGGAATCATATTTTAAATTTCTATTGAAATTGCTTATTCAAATTTTATGTGGTAATAATGATTTCCAGGTACCATACAAAAAAAAAAAATTATCACATTATTACTATTAAGTAATATTTTTTTTTCAATTGAGAATTTTATGTATCGTAACCTTATCGTCATCATTATTCTTGGATTTTGATATCCATGTTGGTTGAGAATGAATATTTATATTTATTCTCATATTCATACTTTTAATTCAAGATTATTATTATGCATATAATCGAATTAAGTGCATAGTATTATTGATTTAAATTATTCAATTTGATTATTTGAGATTTTAATTTGCTTATGAAAATATATCTTGTGATTTTGATATTATTGGAGTTTGCATTATGAAGCATGAATGTATGCATTTATTTATTTTGGCACAAATAGCCATAATTCGCCTTTTCAGAAGATCCAAAATCTGAAAGCAAATAAAGATAAATCATACATCCTTTTTTATTCCTTTTATGCAATAAGCATATCAGGCCTAATAGGCATACGTTATCTAATAAGCATGCCCCTAGATGATCATCATACTTTGCAACATCATCAGAATCGGACAGTCGCGATTCATCACTAGAAATGAGTATTGGGCCACTGCCTTGATTAAAAGGAGATGATACGGTCTCTTCTGAGCTAGCCATATAGCGTTTCTTGCCTACTAACCAAGTTTTATTATTATTTATGGTTAATTGGTTGTGCATTCATGGGAATTGGTGTAACTCACCCAATAATTATGTTTCATTGTCCTTATAAATTGCCATCAAAATCAATATATATTGCTTATCCAGAAGTGAAAATTTGACAATTTTTTTTGTTTGGTGTCTAATTTCATCAACATACTATGAGGTGTTAGCTCCATGCATGCAGGACATATTATTGCTCATATTATTTACGGCATTTTTTTGGAAAGCAAATTAAGTATTTTTTGAGGACATATTCTTTTTGGGGACCTTCAAAAATTGAATATCCTGATCCACTACATATCACATATGCTAGTACATGATGCATTTCCCTATCTGCGTTCAATTTTTTTTAGTATGCAACCCTTCTAGCTATATCCCATCATGAGAAATCAATGGTGATGTTGGTTGCATTATAAGATCTTTTCTCGGCATTAGGGGGAGATTTGAAATTTTCTAATTACATAAATGCTGAGAAATTGATAAAAATCTTATGTACTAGCCTTATAGAACCAGAAGTTCAGACATTGAACAAATTATCTGCTAGAAATTCCAAGGAGTGACTAAGTCCATAGAAAATATTTTAAGAGTTGAAATCCCCAACTAGGACTAAACATCTCTACCATTATGCTAGAAGCATATATTGGTTTAAGAATTTACAAAACTAGATCTAGTATAGAAATTTCGTCACTCCAGAAATATAGAAATTTTATCCTGAAGATATTCGTCTAGAAGACGAAAACCCCCAGTAAAATTGTAGGTGCACCAAATAACTAAAATACTGGGAATCGGAACAACCAAATCCAAATACTCTTGGGAAATGCCATATATTTGGTTGATACAAAATTGCCATGTGTATAAAAAATATTTACAAAGCTGTTACAGTTGTCGACAACATATTTTGCCTCTATTGCTCATAAAATCTGGATCCAGAAATGAAAATAGTAGTATAACGCCTGCAGCGTGCTAACTGTTTTCATAGAAAATAGCAATTAAGGCATACAAATAAGAATTCGCTAATAAAAGGCGTGTGGAGGGTTTTCGCAGAGACCCAATATTAGTCATGGCTTTATATTCCGCTATTCAATAAAACTAGCAGTAAATAAATTAGATATGTAGCTAATAGCTAATAGTTATCACATATTTATATGAGTAACTTGTTACTTATATTTAAAATCCTTGATGGATTTTCTCAAAATGTGATGAATGAAAATCACAAAATAAGAAGTATAAAAGTTAGTAAGTTACTAACTATGATCTTTCTTATAGTCAATATAAATTGACTAAAGGTATTTTCTCCCCAAGAACAAAGTAATGTTATATGTGATTGGGAAACTTAAATACCGTTTCCTCTTGAAAATATTCTAAATATATCCTCAAGTTTATCTTGAAAAATCCCTAATGGATTTATAATTCCCGAAATGAGGATTTATTTTAGTATCATTATGTGCCATTATTTACTTTTTAAAGAGTTGCGAATGGGGTTATTATCCTCACATAGAAGGAATAATATGTACCATTATGTGCTCAATAAAGAGTTGATAATGGACATACTTATTATCTCAATCAATTTTTATGGTGTAAACATCAATGAAATATATGTAGAAGTTGAAGATTGTTATCTTCAGGGGGAGACAGGAAGTAGATTTACTCGAATCAATCCGGAAGATTGGACGTAAAATCCTGCGGATTAAGTCATAAAAGACTATCAGTTGTGCACTATTTGCAACACATCATGTACTCTTTTCTTCACTAGTTTTCATGAGTATGATACAATAATGTAAATGGGGAAATGTAGCAAAAATAATTGTTTCAGTAGACAAATCCCAAAATCCTGAAGATTATGCTGATTATGCCTTGAAGGCTAATAGTTGTACTCTTTTTCCCTTAACTAAGTTTTTCCTACAGAATTTTCTTAAGTTAAGGTTTTTAATGAGGTGACCAATACAATATATGTTTTTATATATATCATGTACTCTTTTCTTCAACTAGGTTTTTTTCCCACGTGGTTTTCCTAGTGAAGTTTTTAATGAGGCATGAATATATTTTCTATTGTACTCTCTTATAGTTTAGGTTTTTTCCACAGGGTTTTCCTATCAAGTTTTTAATGAGGCAAGATCGTGGCCAAATAATGTCCAAGGGGGAGTGTTATAAATATGTATTTAGTGTGGCCATTATTAGTATTGATTATGTAACGGTTAAGTGATTAATGGCTGCATTATGTCTTCTGTTACATTTGTATATTATATATAGATGTGTTATGGTTGTATGGAACATACAGAGATATATAAATATGAATATCCTCTTGGGCTTGTCTCTTACTTTCACTTTCTGCAGTTCCTTTGATCAATCATGTTTGAGCTAATAAGTTGCAACAAAAATGCTATTATTTATAGTTTCTCAAAAATAATAAAACAAGAAAAGTTTCCTATTTATCATAACACGAGTCAATTTGTCTCCCAAAAACATGAAAATGCTATTATTTTCCAGATTCTAGAGGCAATGCAACAAGTTTATGTGAGTCTAAAAAATTCAAGGGTGCAGTTTTTGTTTTCAATTTAGTCCTCCAAATTCCGTTCGTTTGGTGTTAAATAGAGGAACAATTAAGTAATTTCAATATTTACATCTTTTTACATCTAAACCTACGAAGGTTGTTGTGTTGTAGTGGTTATCACGTCAATCTTACACACTGAAGGTCTCCAGTTTGATCTTGGGCAGTTACATCGCTCTCCAAACTAATTAATTAGTTTCTCAAAAATAATAAAACAAGAAAAGTTTCCTATTTATCATAACACGAGTCAATTTGTCTCCCAAAAACATGAAAATGCTATTATTTTCCAGATTCTAGAGGCAATGCAACAAGTTTATGTGAGTCTAAAAAATTCAAGGGTGCAGTTTTTGTTTTCAATTTAGTCCTCCAAATTCCGTTCGTTTGGTGTTAAATAGAGGAACAATTCAGTAATTTCAATATTTACAACTTTTTACATCTAAACTTGCGAAGGTTGTTGTGGTGTAGTGGTTATCACGTCAGTCTTACACACTGAAGGTCTCCAGTTCAATCCTGGGCAACAACATTGTGTACTATTTATCAAAACATGAGACAATTTGTGTCCCAAAAACATGAAAATGCTACTATTTTTCAGATTCTAGAGGTAATGCAACAAGTTTATGTTTTCAATATAATGCGCCGTATTCCGTCCGTTTGGTGTTAAATAAAGGAACAATTATGCAATTTCAATATTTACATCTTTTTACATCTAAAGTTGTGAAGGTTGTTGTGGTGTAGTGGTTATCACGTTAGTCTTACACAGTGAAGGTCCTCAGGGGTGCGGTTTTTGTTTTCAATTTAGTCCGCCTTATTTCGTTTGTTTCGTTTTAAATAGAGGAACAATTCAGTACTTTCAATATTTACATCTTTTTACATCTAAACCTGTGAATGTTGTTATGGTGTAGTGGTTATCACGTCAGTCTTACACACTGAAGGTCCCCAGTTTAATCCTGGGCAGCAACAACGCTCTTCAAACTAGAGTCAATTTGTCTCCCAAAAACATGAAAACGCTATTACTTTTTAGATTCTAGAGGTAATGCAACAAGTATTTTTTAGATTCTAGAGATAATGCAACAAGTTTATGTGAGTCTCAAAAATAAGGGTGTGGTTTTTTATTTCAATTTAGTCCGCCGTATTCCATTCGTTGGGTGTTAAATAGAGGAACAATTCAGTAATTTCAATATTTAGATATTTTTACATCTAAACCTACGAAGGTTGTTGTGGTGTAGTGGTTATCACGTCAGTCTTACACACTAAAGGTTTCTAGTTCAATCCTGGGTAACAACATCGCTCTCCTAACTAATTTTTTAGTTTCTCAAAAATAATAAAACAAGAAAAGTTTGCTATTTATTAGAACACGAGTCAATTTGAAAACAAGAAAAAAAATAATAAAACAAGAAAAGTTTGTTATTTATCAGAACAAGAGTCAATTTGAAAACAAGAAAAGTTTGCTATTTATCAGAACACGA